GTGGACTGCAACTCCCAGAATTCCCCAGCCAGCCATTCCCCTGGCTAGGGAATTCCCCTGGCTAGGGAATTCTGGGAGTTGCAGTCCACGCATCTTAAAAGTCGCCAAGTTTGAAAATCGCTGCTGCAAAATGAGCTCGGCTTTCCTCCATCACCTGGCTGCCCCCTAGCGGCCGCCCGAGGCACTGCGGCGCAGAGCCCGGCGTCCTGAAATTTTCCCTCGGCGGACTGACGTCATCTCCTGCAATGTCCACGAAAACTGGTACGAGTTGATCAATAGGCTATTCGCGGTTCTGCGCTGTTTTATTGATTAGATGTGTTACAGCTCACGATCTGGCTGCCCTTAGCAGCTTGCAAGCTGAGCCAGCCCATTCAAACGTCCACAGTATTATAACATTAATAGTCACATAAAAATAAAACTTGAGCAATGCACCTATGCAGAAACTATATATATATGCAGAAATATATATATATATTATGCAAAAGTAACATTTCCCAGCAACTCTCCTTTCAAGGAGCATAGCTTGGACCTGGCCCACTCCATCTCACAACAATCCTGCAAGGTAGATTCTGTTGACTCAAATCCACATTCATGATCAACCATGGTTCCCATTTCTTGTTTACTCCCATCCACATTGATCATTCCTGGTTTTACTGCCTCTGTATGTTTCATTGCATCCCTCCACATACAAAGTTTTGTGAAAAATCCCAGGATCTTGCAGGAATGTCCAGAGGGGTCAAAAAAATCAAGATGGAGCCGCAACGATGCACGCATCCGTTTTACATATGTCACGACGTGTGTTAAAAAGGGGCGGAGCTTTAGCACTGCAGCGATGGCCGCCATGTTGACTTTTTTGACCCATCCACCCTGCGCAACTGCGCTTAGGTGTTGGGAGATCGTCTGGAACTCCAGTCAAAATGAAATCCGACCATGTGACACTCCTTTAAAAAGTGTTGAAAATTCAGTCTATGGCTGTGTTTGTGCAACACGCAGAAACCACCTCCAAGATGCCTTGGTTGGATCTACAATGCCTGGCTAGTGTAAAAATGGTTTGTAGCTCAGCATATGGGATCAAACCAGAAATGGGTTAATTCGGTGAGAATAATATTTCTCAACTTCAGCAACTTTAAGATGCGTGGACTTCAACTCCCAGAATTCCCCCAGCCAGCATGCTGGCTGGGGGAATTCTGGGAGTTGAAGTCCACGCATCTTAAAGTTGCTGAAGTTGAGAAACACAGGCTTAGAAGAGCCTTTGAGTTGTGATGGTTGCCAGATATCCATCCACAGGGAGAGGCGGAGCTCACACAAACAATGGGCGGAGCAACACCCAAACTGGCCGGGGCTCTCCTCTCTGTTTCTGATTTCAACTTTTTTTTTCATTTACATTTTTATTTATTTCTCCATTGTTACCTGCCTCAACCCCTGAGCTAACTAGGCTATTTTTTCTTGCTCTCTTCTCCGCCAGCAGGGCCATCCCTGGCTTGCTTGCTTGCTGGTGGAGGGCTTTTAAAATTTAGCCCGAGGGCCAGGTGTGGCTTGAAGGCCGCCAGTTGCAGACCCCTGTGGTACAGGAATGGGCTTCCATTCCCCGCAATCCGCTCCTGAGCATTTCAGGATAATTTAAAGGCATTCTTTTTGTGTTGAGTCAAGACTCTCTAAATTGCAAATTCCCTTTAGCACGCACCATCAGGAAGCTGTTCCAAACTGAGTTTCCAGGGGCTAATCCTTTGCTTTTTCCTACTCACAGTATTCTTCTCGACCCAGCTGGAGGGTTGAAGGAGGAGAATCAAGAGCAAGTAAACTTTAAAATCTTCCTCACCCTGAGAAAGATACTTCCGGAAATTCTAAGATTATCAAGTCTGTACAAAGCCACAAGACCTGGAGTTGTTTATCTGGAATCAGAAGTTTTTCTTCTTCCTTCTCCCCCCCCCTTTCATTCCAGGCATCTTGGTTTTTATTTTTTTCTTGCTCTCCGGCTCCAGACGTGGTTCCTGGCATTTACATTTTGCTGATTCCAGATTTTTTTAAGGTTTCCCACGTCCGCTTTCTCCATACCTCCTTCTCTTCTTTTCCTTTACTTTTTTTTGGGAGTGCATGGATTCCAGGAAGAATGTTCTAGGGATCACACAGATTTTTAGTTACCTGGGAAAAAGGAGATATTCGGGCGGTGGGGGAGCAGGGAAGGGGTGGCAGAGAAGTCTTGGGGGGATGGTGGTGGAATCATTCATTAAGTAATAATGAATTGGAGCTTTCCTTTCTGCTGCTGGGCCCTGAAATGCTCACCAGGAGGGGTCCTGTGGTTTTCAGAAGGAAGAGGGAAGCCCCTCTTAAGACAAAGCCATTGCCAGTTTCTGTCTGCGCCACTGTCGGGGAAGACGCCGAGTAAATAGGAGATGGAGGTTTCTAACTCAGCAAAATTGGACGGCTGAGTCAACTGTGCAACCCAGTATCCCCAGCTGGATGGCTGTGGGTGGGGGACAGGCAGGGATCAAAAAGGCAGCGATGGGGGGAGAGAGGACAGATGGGGGAAAAGAATCTGCTGAGAGGAAAAAAGACACCCTTCCTTTTAGAGAACAGCATCTGCTTTGGGCTTTAGAGTCTTTTGTAGAACTTTGATTTCCTTCCTATGCGACCCTTGTCTCAGCCTCTGAGAGCTCCAGTTTCTGAAACGGTGATTCAAGGTGGCGCAGATATCGGTCAATCAGGACAGCGTCAACTCAGAGGAAGTCTGCCACCAACTCTGGCATTGGGTGACTTTGGGCCAATGCCTCTCTCTTTCTGCCTTGTGCTACCTCGCAGGCTTGTGGTGGGGATAGCAATTGGCAGGGCCTGGGGTTAGGAGGAAAAGTGGGATAGAAATCTCCCTAGATAAGTCTCCCTAGATAAATAATAAGCAATGCATACACAGTGAGGAGCTTAAGGACTTAAGGAGGACTGCTAAATTGACAGCGAGATATACAGAAGGAGGACAGTAGAGAAGAAGAGTCTCAAAGACCAGCTCTGTGTCTTGAGGGACCTTCTGGACTCACTGCTCCTGCTGGAGGAGCAGGTGGGGGCTATGGCAGGGTGGGCCAATGATGGTCCTTCATGGGCCAGGAGGGCCTGGTGGCCGTGGCTCCCTTCCCATCTTCATACTTTTGGATTACGGTACCATGGTCTACATGGAGCTACTCGAAGACATCTCTGAAGCTATAGTGGGCCCAAAATGCCACAGCCTGGCTGCTAATGGACATAAGCCATTTTAGCAGATCCCCCAGCCTGTTTGTGTGAACCAGTTTCGACCAGATCAGAATTAAACCAGATTGGTCCATGGCCAGAACAAGAAACAGTTGGAACCTGTCCTCCCTGTCTTCCTCTGAGCGGTTTCAAGCCCATTACACAGCACACGTGGGAGCAGGAGGTACAAGGATTTGAACCATTTTCATTATAAATAGGGCTTGCATTTCATACACAGCAGCTGCAAGAATTCTTTCAGAATGGCTTCAGTTTCCACCCCCCCCCAATAAACCCACACATCAGTGTTGTCTAGCATTGATAATTGAAGCCTGACAATGTCACTGCACAGCTTGTCAGTTGT